TAATATTTAGTATATTTATTTATTTAATAATATATATAAATAAGTTGTCTCTATATTACTATTATTTATTAATAGTAACATTTTGAATTTTTTTAATCAAAAATTGATATTTAGCATGCTGCAATTTTTTTTTTTTTAATGATAAAGGGTAATTTTCTTACACGACGTCTAATGCATGTAGCCTATTTAGTGGAGTTAATGGTCACATTTACAAGAAACAAACTTACTTTTTAATTACTAATTAATTAGGGTTCAAATCCTCAATCCTTCCTTGAAAACGGCGCATTACTAGCGTGGCCAACGCATGCTGCCTGTACTTACTATTCCTTCAAGAGAACACACACGCTACTGATCTTATATTAAGTTTGGGTTTGAATTAACGCGACACAATCTGCTAATATCTTAATAGAAATATGAAAATTAAGATATCTAGATACTCAAAACATCTACTATAATTATTTATTAGTGAATTATATTTTTAAAATTTACTTAACAAATGATTATAATAAACCGTTCAGAATAACAAGATATTTTGATATTTTGAGTTTTCATATCTTAATTACCGCGAATTACCCTTATCTCTCCCTCTTGTTATAGAGAATAATAGAGAGGAAAACCACATCCTGTTCTAACACCCTCACTTTAAAATTTTTTTAAAAATAATTCAAAGCTAATTGAGCGTATGTTGAGGCATGGATATTGTCACACGAGATTTTTTTTTTAAGTTACATAATATTATATTTAAAAATATTAATTTTATGTGGTTTAATTGTTAAAAATAATTGATAATTATAAATGTTAATTGATAAAAATAATTAATGTTTATTAATTAACACATTAAAATAATTTTATAAGTCTTTATCAAAAAAAAAAACAAATTTAATAAGTTGATATTTTCAAAAATTATAACAGTTGTACATATAAAAAGCTACAAATTAATAAAATAAGTGAAACTAAACACAATGACTATTATTTGTGGGATCTTAATAAAAACTCATGTAGCAATAATTACAACCTGATGATATTTGATTTTATTTTTTA